TGCAATATATATATATATATATATATATATATATATCAGTTTTCCCGTATGTACTGTTTATCGTAAGTTTCTCCATCCTTTCCAGATGCCAGCCAACCGAGGATTTCAATCCAACCCTTGCGAGTACGCCGTTACGGCCAACTTCCAGCAACGATCCATTTCGACATCCCTTAGGATTCGTTTTCGTAAGTTTCTCCATCCTTTCCAGAAGCATGCCAACCGAGGATTTCAATCCAACCCTTGCGAGTACGCCGTTACGGCCAACTTCCAGCAACGATCCATTTCGACATCCCTATCCTAGGATTCGTGTCGTGCGCACTAAGAGGTATGCAAATCATCCTTAGGTCTTGTCGGCTTGTTTTAAAAATCTGGCCTTTTTTGGTACGGCAGCGAAGCATCAGCGTTGAACGCTGATGTCATGTTGTCGATGATGATGACTCCTTTTTAGTTGTCAGTTTGATATTGGCGTTTAGAATACCTTTTATACTGAATAGATTCTTTGTATAATCGTAAGCAATCACCATGGCCATGCGAAACACCTACATCTTTTGATCGTGTTTGGACCGTTCAAAACTCAGCAAAGAAGTACGTTTAAACCCCTTGAGCGGAATATTTCGCACAACACTTCGGTTGGCTACCTGCTTCTTCTGATTCAGGCCGTCGGCCTTTGACAGAAACGTCGACTGATAACAGCGTAATCTTTCTTCTGATCTTGACAACCTGCCCCCTGCTCTGTTTGAGGACAGCGCTGGATTCCTCAGTCAGTGCCTATCTAGCCTGGTTGCGTGTATCTGCGAGAAACAGACCGTCTCAAACAATTAGAGTGAGTCGGCTATGGTGCCTGTCTTTAAAAAAGGGAATGTGATAAGTACAGTTTAACCCCTTTTGTAAGAAGGCTTCTGCCGTCACCGGCGGTGCGCCAAAAATTGACTCGTGAGAACCAAGCGGGACTTCGGTCAGCTAGGTTGTGTCTCGATCCCATCTTCAATTTCTTTTAGGTGTTAGAGCGAGTCATATGCTCATACAACTCACGGCCTTATCGTTCCTTAACTTCAATTGCGTTCGATTCCATCAATCACTCAGTGCTGTTAACCACACCCGCCTAACAGATACACCCCAAATGTTGGTGAAAATAATCCGATCCTTGTATCCACATACTTCTGGGCCTTTGGAAGTGTACGGCGAGCTTACTCACAAAAAGCGTTCAGAAAGGGTGTCCACTCTTCATATTTGATCAACTTCGTCATCAACCAACTAATGAGACGAATGCCGGAAAGTCTTCAAAACTTTGGTGTTAGGTCGTTGCTGATGAGAGCCTATCGACCTGGAATACGCAGACTACATTGTCTTTATCTTTGAAGACGAAGGCCAAATACAAGCTCTGTTGAATTAAGTGTCCACCATCACATCATCTCTGGGAATGTGTCTTGCACCTACAAAGTGGAAAATCATGTTTCAGAGTTGTTATGTTCTCTACTGATCAGTCAATCAACCTTATCAGTTACACACGGAAGTGAGAAGACAAAAGCCTTGAGGAAATTATACTGCAGCAACTGAACAGCGAATATCGAGATTCGAAGAATCAAGAAGGGAATGGAACAAAACAGTCCAATGAAAGGCTGAAATAGAGAGAGAGAAATGTTGAGCAATATGTTCGTTAGGAGGAGTGCCGCCTAACACCTCCCCTTTGAAGTCATTGTTCGTACGACTGGAGTTGTGGGTTCGGTTGCATTCGTATGACAGGCTTTATGATCCGGTCCGTCCATCTTCTGGGTGTACAACTTTTGGAAATTGTTGGTTCATTCATCGGCTCTGGAGATTTTGGCTTTTGAGCTAACTCAAATGTGTCGAGAAGAGTCTTCAGTGGAAGAACAGGATCGAGTGTAGGTGCCGCTGGAAGATAGGAAGCGCGTAGCTGGTTGGCATGACGGACCCAGATAGAGGAGCCTACATTTACCTCACAGACAACTCTTCCGGCCCGGCGCACAATTATGCCTTGTGTCCACTTTTCCGCGCCACCACGATAGTCTTTCGCTAGCACAGATTGGCCGGGTATAAATATGTTCTTTGCAGCACCGTGATGTCGGTTGAACTGAACTTCCATATTTATGTTTCTACCGGTTGGCGAATGTGGTGTTGGACGGATGACGTCAACGGGTAAGCGGACCTTCCGGTTCATAAGTACCTCCGCCGGGGACTTACCATGTGGAGCGTTAACATTTGGTGTCGCCCTGTAACTCAGCAGAAATGTCTCGATGATTTCCGGGGTGGTCCCCTCCCCTTTGAGTTTTTGGAGTGCGCGTCTGAAAGTATCCACAAATATTTCCACTTGGCCATTTGATTGTGGATGAAATGGTGGTGATCGCACGTGTTGTATGGCATTTTCTTGACAGAAATCGGAAAATTTAGCGGAAGTGAATGCACTGCCGTTGTCGGAAACAATGATATTTGGAACTAAGAAGTGGCTAAACACATGTTGTAGTTTTGAAATGGTAGCCTCAGCAGTAATATGGTTCATGCTAAACACTTCTGGCCATTTGCTACAAGCATCTACTAGGATGAGATATTGTTCGCCGTTGATTGGTCCCGCAAAATCAACATGCATTCGTGACCATGGAGTTTCTGGGACAGGCCATGAACATAATTCTGTTTTGTGAGGGGCTTTTACAGATAGTTGGCATTTTGAGCACTTTCGAACAAGTTCTTCCAACTGTTTATCCATGCCTGGCCAGTAAACATAACTACGGGTCAATGCTTTCATACGGTTGATACCGGGATGTCCAAAATGAAATTGTTTGAGAACACTTCTGGAGTTTTGAAGGTACAACCACGCGTTCTGAAAACAGCAGACAACCATCGACCTCGGAGAGCGAAGATCGGCGTTGGTAGAACGGTTGAATCTCTTTATCTGGGCATACTAGAGGCCAGTGTGTGCGGTGGAAATGTATTCATTTTTTCAGTAATGGATCACGAAAAGTGGCGTCGCGAACCATACCAGAAGTGACTGGTAAAGCGCGAATCACTGTAGTAAGCACAGTATTTACCTCCGTTCCGCTGTTATTGATGCGATAACCGCATCTTCAAGTTGTGGACGCCGTTAGCCTTGATAATGCGTCAGCCTGGCCCATAGCATCAGTTGATTTGTATTTGATGGAGAAATCGTAGCCCAAGAGCATTGTTGCCCAGCGTTGTAAGCGATTTGCTGTGTACACAGGGATATCTTTCTTTGATCCGAAAATACCGAGAAGTGGTTTACGGTCGGTGATGAGCGTGAAATGATGATCATGTAGCATTTTATGGAACTTCTTGATGGCAAAAATTATAGCTAAAGCTTCTTTTCCAATCTGTCCATAATTGCGTTCGGTAACTGTCAGGGATCTGGCTGCATGGGCTATTGCTTTTTCACTTCCATCAGGGAACACGTGAGAGCTAACTGCTCCAATACCATAACTGGATGCGTCTGAAACCACATTAATGTCTAGAGCTGGGTTGTAATGTGTGCGAAGCAAGTTAGAGCTAAGTTGTGACTTCACGTTATCAAATGCAGATTGGCAATCGTGTGACCAGTTCCATGGAACATCTTTTTGTAGAAGGCAATTTAGTGGGTGGCGGACACGATTCTTATCCGGTAGAAAAGTGCTGTAATGGCTGACCAAACCAAGGAACGAACGTAGAGTTGTTAGGTTAGTCGGTGCTGGCATTTGATGTATGGCAGAAATGTTTTCTGGGTCCGGGTGACGACCATTTTCGTATAAGTTAAATCCCAGGTAATTAATGGAGGTGAGGAAAAATTCACACTTTTCAGCACGGAGGTGGAAACCATATTGTTGAATTTGCTCCAGCACACAATGTAATCGATGTAGTAGTTTGATGCGTACCAGCGATGATTATGTCATCTAAGTATGCAGCAACTCCGGGAGAATCGTTGAGCATGGTATCCATTATTTTCTGGAATATAGCTGGTGCAGGTTTTACACCAGAAGGTAAGCGATTGAACTGAAATAAACCACGATGCGTATTAATGGTCAAGAGTTCTTTGGAGTGTTCATCAACTTCGATTTGGAGGTAAGCATCAGCAAGATCAAGTTTTGCAAAACATTTGCCACCAGTGAGCTTGGGGAACAAATCCTCTGGAAGAGGTAATGGATATTTATGAGAGTCTAAGACAGCGTTTAATCCTGTGGAATAATCAGCACATATGCGCACCTTGCCATTTGCTTTTTTGATGACAACAATAGGAGCTGTCCATGATGAATGGTTTACTGGCTGGATAACTCCGGATTGCTGAAGACGAACAAGTTCATTCCCCACAGTTGCGAGGGCAGCAAATGGCACGGGACGCTTCGGTCTGAAAATTGGTGTGGAAGCAGGTTGGAGTTTGAGGCTTGCCTTGGTTTTGGTACAGCATCGAAGGCCACTTTGGAAGACATCGTTGAATTTTGTCTTCAGTGTGTTAGTAAAGTGTTCTGCAATGTCTGAGGAGGATGAAAATTTCAGAGTATCGCACACAGATGATAAAGGTACACGGAAAAGGTCAAGTTTTTCGATCCAGTTGAGTCCGAGTATGTTTAATTTCGGACAATCAGTGGGATAGCACGTTCCTGAGGCGTGCACATTGTTGAATAACACATCACAAGACAACTTGCCTGTTAGTTTTAAAGTGCTGCCAGAGGCGCTTTTCGTCCGATGGTTCGTGGATGATAAAACAGGTTTCCCAATTGATTCCCAAACTGAACGTGAGATTAATGTAATATCCGAAGCTGTGTCAAGCCGCAAACGGATCGGGAAATTGTTGATGGAAACTGTTATGTATTTCCTGCGGGATTCAAATTCAACTTGGATTGTATTCGTTGTTTGTACGTCCGCCTTTTGATTGAGTCTCTCATCGGACTGTTATCGTTGTTTGGGTTTAATGGTGATTTGGCATTGTGGGTACGGCAAAAGCCTTCTTTTATGGCCCGAACGATGGCATGCTTGGCACTGATGTTTCTTGAATGGACAAAAACGTGCATAATGCCATTCACCACATGATTAACATGATGTTGGTGGCTTTTTTCCAGGAGTGACAGTGGTTCGCTTCAATGTCATGACGCTGCTGGAAATAGGCGATCGCGACTTTTGCTGTACCATTGCGGTATCATGTTTGAGATTGCGCAAGCGCTGGCATTCTGTGGTGAGGTCTTTCACAGTAATGTCTTTTTCGTGCTCAAGTTTGGATAGCAATCGCGTGCGAATATCTGATTCCTGAGAAGATTGAAGTCCAGCGACAAAAATGAGGCATTTGAACTGATCTTCTGTAAGCGATTGCAATTGGAATTTCTCACA